ATATTATTAATTGTAATAAAATTAAAAAAACTGAATAAAGAAAATGAGAATTTTTTGATTTTTTAATTAATAAAAAATTTAATTTATATAAAAAACAAATTAATTTGGCACCCCCAATTCTTCTTTGAAGTTATTTGTTGCTCTCCAAAGGAAACTGTGCAAATTGCTCTCTGCAACAGTTTTATTGGTAGAACTTCTTCTGTTGTAGTAAAAATATAAACCAATACATACTGCACTGACCAACATGAGATTCACTAAGACAGAACCTCCTAGAAGGACTGGATTAGATTAAGCTAATTATTGTTTCTGAACATTTTTGGCGACTTGTGTAGCTGTTTGATGTTTATTATATGATGAATTAATTCTTCCTTTATTATTTTTTAATGTAGATTACTCAAGTATATGGATTTTATGATGAATTCCTTATAAAGTAAGTTCTCAACACCATCATTTATAGGTTCTGTGGAGCAAAAGTGAAAAACATGAGATGCTTCTATCCTGAGAAAAAATTGTTTTTGCTAGATCTTATAGTTGTTTCAATTGAAGTTCATGTAGTTAAGTACTGATGTTCATTTTTGTTATTAGTATTACCATGGTTGAATATCTAAAATTTTCTTTAGATATAATATTTATAGAAATGCTTTGCCCTACAATATGCTCTTTTGGAATTATAACTTGAGGATTTGATTAGCTAGTTTCTTGTTGCTTTAATTCTGCAAACTTTCCTTGGTTGTACTTTTGCAAACGTTTTTGTTTTGTATCTTCCCATATCTTTTGAACCATTTGAATTCTGCTATTGTATGTTACAACAACCAGGTTGTCTAAATCTTTTGTGTTGTATTTACTTATAAAACGCTACAAGGTTGATATGCTAAATTATCCTCCAAGCACCTTTGCTGCTGCTCAGTACCTTATATATATTGTCATTCATCAATCTCTGTTGAACAATCTTATGCAGTCAGGACTAGGAGCTCACTATTAGCTGTAAATTGTTCAGTATTTTTGAGATCTTAACTGACCACTTATTCAGATGTTGAATCAAGAAAAAAAAAATGCAATTTTGTGGCGGTTTAAAACCGCCAAAAAATTTCAAACAAGTCAAACAAAAATGCATTTGGTTTGAAACCGCCACAAAAGAGATTGAATTTTCTGCTGCCCAACACCAGCGTTTATGAAATATCCGCCGCAAACGGTTTTTGGCGACCGTAGATCCGACAGTTATTAATGACGCCGGTAATGCGATTTGTGGCGTTTTTTAACCGCCATAAACTGCCAAAATAACCGCCACAAATCATGCATTTTTTTTGTAGTGAATATGTTTCCCAAGATTATAAAATCACAATCTTAGCAATCCAAAATTCAAAATAATGTGACTAGAATGATAATATTGGTATATGTATAGATACTAAAATAAATAGTTGAATTTAAGGACTTATTTAATACTTTAAGAATTTATTTGATAATTCTTTAATTTTAAGAATTAATATTACATTAACTTCTAATCTAAGGGATCAAATCGTAAGATTATGTTTTTTTTAATTATTATTAGTAGTGGTTATTTTAATTTAAATTAAATATTAGCATGTGCTTTGCATCAATAATGAAATGCATATAATTTATTTTAAATGCAAATTTTAAAAAATGTCAATCCATAAAGAATTCTCAAATAATAATTATTATCATTATTATATTCAAAAAGAGGAGATATATATAACCACTTATTTATTGTAAATTTATATATTTTCTAATCTTATCCACCATATTATTTATATTGTATTAATATAAATGTAAATAAAATATTAAATCATGGAGGTGTTTGTGGAGGATTTCGTTTGTAGGTTCTTTTTATTCGAACTAGCACGATTTCAATTTATGCGTGTTCGCAACATGACAGAATCGAAGACTTTCAGTGAAAAAATAAAATCGTACAAGCAACAAATAGAGTTCAATAAATTAGGGTGTTGTTTGAGCACGTCAGAAGATCTATGCTCGTTGTTTGAGCACGTCAGAAGATCTATGCTGGTTTTAGCGCATCAGAAGATTTATGCTTGTTTAGCACATCAGAAGATCTATGCTAATTATACAATCAATTTCATGCATGTAAGAATTAACGTGAATTGAACAGATGACATGTATATTGACTGTAGAAATCATATCCTTCATTAAATGGTAACAGAATTACAATTCGTAAGGATAACGAAACAGGTTCAGATGACTACACTACACTAGACTATGCTAAGCTACGCTATGCTATGCTACGCGAAAAAAGGAAAAAGAAAGGTGGTCGAGAAATCATACCCAAAGTTGTCTCGAATGCACGGTGTGCCTTATGCGCATGCTGAGGAGTGCGTGTGAGGTATTGTGGGTGTGTGATTTCTAACCCTTTGCTACGAGCATGGCTCGTTTAATTTATAGACAAAGATTTAGGAAATGTAACTGTTTCTGACGTGCCCCGAAAGTGCATAACCATTCTAAACTTCCACATCGTGACTCATTCCTGGAACCGCTCATTAACTTTCCCAAACCGTTCTGCAGTCTTTGACACTTATCTCATAATTTACTTCAACCGCTATTAAATCGTGTTCTCTTTAAGTTCTTCATTATGAGAGGTTGCGAAGTATGCTCGTGTATGTCCGGATCCTTGGGATTTTGAGTAACCAACGAAAACTACACTTAAATGTTTCTTGATTTTTCTTGTACTTTGAGAGGTTGCGAGGCTGTGAGCCTTTGTCATGAGCAGCATCCTTCCTGGTTCGAGGATTTCGAGAGTTTCACGAAAAATATCTTCGCGTATCTCTTGATTCTCTTCAGGCTTCGTATGCCTTCTTCAGAAACTTCTTTACCATTTTCTGATCACCTAAAATTTCGAGCACCCAGTGTCTCCAAATTTATTTTTTTGGTACTAACAGGAGGATAGTACATAATGAGGGCACGTTCCTATTGGGTGGTATGAGCTTTTCAGTTTCACTGAATTGCTTTGTTGAGCGTAAAACAAAAAGTGAAACCCACTGAATTGTTTTGTTGACGTAGTAAAAAATAAAAAATAAAATTATAGAAAGATTCTTTGCGTGTCTACCCTTCAAGTCAAAAAGTCTGGAGACATGAGACGCGTTGCTCATATACTAAAGTCAAGGATGTGGGGCTCCTAGAAAACACCGCCAAACTCTATTCATGTTTTAGCTCAAAGATTATGGACTTTAAAACAAGAGGGGTTCGGTGATTGACTAGGATGCAAAAATAACTTCCACTAGTGGAAAAAAGGCTTTTAAAATCGGTTACTTTGGACTTTTAAAATCGGTTATGGAACCGATCTTAAAAGAGCCGATTTTGAAAAGGTAGACTTTTAAGATCGGTTATCAACCGATTTTAAAAATAGACTTTTACGATCGGTTGATTTATAACCAATCTTAAAAGTCTTGACTTTTAAAATCTGTTATAACAACAACCGATCTTAAAAGTCTACTTTTAAAATCGGTTATGGCATAACCGATCTTAAAAGCATTGATTTTTTTTGTATGTTTGACTTGTTTTAGGAGCACCTCAGAACAAAAAACCTGCAGAAAAACCAGATAGTTCAAAATATTTTCTCAGTGAAGCACAAATCGCATACAAATGACAAGATGATAAATGTTAATCATATATATATAATTGAATAGTTTTAAATACATCTAATACATAAATGGACTACATTGCTCAATGAAATGTAAGTTCTAACTAGTTAAAGTAATACTATAAAACATAAGCCCAAACTAGTTAAAGTAATGGTCAATAAAAAATGTGGCCCATTGCTCCCTAATGATGTTTATGTCTTCTAGCGGCAATGGTGATCGATCTATAAATATCTGTTAAGAAAAATTAAAATAATTAGTAATAATTCATAAAATATATAGAATGAGAACTTAAAACAAAAACTTTCAAAATTGTAAAACTTACTTCAGTCCACCCAGATACTATTTGTGAATCGACAATAGTATGCATTGTCTTCATTACATAGTATCCGCACTCATAATTTCCTTTTTGTTTATGAGACTACAAAAAGAATATAAAATCAATTTCAATAGAATAGTAATTAAAGAAAATTACTAAATTACTTAAAAAAAATATCATTGCTAGAATTAAAATCTTACTTTAGGAGAGACCCAACTCATTTTTTTCTTCATCTTTGAACCCTTAAGTATATGATATCCTTCCATGGCCCTAATGATAAAATGACATTATGATTAGTATAAAGTCAAATGTAATGATAATCAATAAAAGAAATTAGATATTTTTAAACAATTTACCCTATGATGAAATTAACACGATAAGAATTAATAAATTAAATATTGAATCCCCTTTATTAATGTTTATTTACATGCTTAAAATATAAATTAAGCGATTAATCCCAAAATATCTACATTATGACATTTATTATAACAAAAAAAGATAAATATGAGAAATAAAAGGAAGAGAAGAAGATTGACTGAAATACCTCTTGAACGAGCTTTATTGAATCTTCAAATATGGAGAAGGTGCTTTGTGGCAACCTTTCAAACTACCGTATGCCTCACAAATCTCAAGAAATACAATAGGAGGGAGAGAGAAGATAGATATGCAACACAAATATCAAGAAATACAATACAATGGAGAGAGATAGAGAATTTTCGTGCTTAAAGGAGTCTTATTCAAAATTTCTCTAGCCGCCCTGAGAACTATGCCCGAGGCTTCTATTTACAGGAATCAGAAGGGGGCCAGAACGTCCCGCTTCGGATTTGGAACAACCCATTTTTGGCCAGTAGTTATGTGCAAATTATGCACCCTGGAACGGCCCATTCCAGAGTGGAAATTAACACAAAGTTACCCTTTCCAGAATCGCCCATTCCAAATTTGACTTGTTTGGAACGGCCTGTTCTGGTATTGGAACGAGCCGTTCCAACCTAGGACTCTTTAGGTGTTTTAATCACGTTGGAATGCCCGTTATGATATTGGAACGGCCCATTCTAGGGTTCGGAACAGCCCGTTCCAATTTTGGAACAGCCCGTTCCAGGCTACTATGACCACCTTATTTGACCTTTAGGCCTTCTGATGTCCTGTCTTGTTGTTTGCTTGCTTCGGGAGCTCCTTCCTTCATAACGGAGGTCCATTTCCTACTACCCAACAATTATTCCCACACTCCCGAGTGAGGTTTCTCACTCCCCCCTTACCTGGATAGGCCAAAGATGAAGCTAGAGCGAAATCTAGTTGACCTCTTTCTCTTGGTTCTCCTTGGTCTTCAGAGAATGTAGAAGAAAAGAAGTCAGAAATGAAAAGTGTGCTTTTGGGAGTGCTAGAGCGCTCTATTTATAGGCATCAGGAGTCACCGGAATGACCCGTTCCAAATCCAGATGGCCCGTTCTGGACTTTTCGTCATGTGTAAAATTTCACATCCAGAACGGTCCGTTCTCAAACTAGAACGGCCCGTTCTGGGTTTATGTTTAACCCACAACAGCCATAATTGGAACGACCCGTTCTCATCTTTGGAACGGCCCATTCCCATCTTTGGAACGGCCCGTTCCCATTTAGGGTTAAAGGCCATTCTGGTAGTCTGGAATGGCCCGTTCTAGTTTGGGAATGGCCCGTTCTAGGCTACTAAAAATAAACTTTTGAATAGCTTGGAACGGCCCGTTCCAATTTGAGAACAACTCGTTCTGGGCTACTAAAAAAACCCTAAATAAATTTTATAAAAATTACTAAATTACCCCCCATAAAAAGTATGGAAACTGGGGTGTTACAATTCCCCCCCCCCCCGCTTTTTGAAATTTCTTCCTCGAAATTTACCGAAAACCTGAACGGATGAACTTCATGAATCTTGCTCTACACTGCCGAATAACACTTTCCTAAATATTTCTCATCGTGCTTCTGCTGCGCCACTCTGATGTAGAAACTATATTAGTTGAAAATATCATGTAACGTCACTACCTCACTGATGTATAACTCAATTAATCTTCTCAAGGGATATCTAATATGAATAAGGATAGGGTGAGCAACCTTGGTGAATCTATCTATTAACCAAATAAGATCAAATTTCTTAAGAAAATCAGGCAAAACTACAACTAAGTTCATAGATATAAAATCTCACTTCCAAACTAGGACGTCTAAAGGCTGTAAAAATCCTAAAGACTTCTAGTATTCTACCTTAAACTTCTGGCATACTAAACATGAGTACACAAATTCCTCTACTTCTCTCTCTCCACCTTAAGCCGCCTGAACATCTTCTTAAGGTCTTGATACACCTTAGTAGCTTCCGAGTGAATACTAAGAATACTCTTATGTCCTTCCTCTAAGATCATTCTCTTAATTTAGGATTACTAGGCTACCAAATTTTGTTCTTGTACCTCAAAACAACGTCGGTTCCTACTCAAAAAAGGTTATCTATACTTATACCAATCTTCTCCACTTGGTTCACTAAGAAAGGATCATCCATTAATCTATTAGTCCTTTCCAACATACTCAATCCAATGCTCTTAAGGGTAACCTCACACACCAAGCTTAAGTCTCTAAACTCTTTAATTAGGTCCAACCCTTAATTCATCAAAAATAATAGATAAATATCCATCCTACTCAAGACATGTGCTGGAATATCATCTTTACTTCTATGATCTTCTCAAAAGATCAAACACCTAAGCGTAAGTTTCCTAGGTACACATACTCGGTCTCCAAGTCTTGTCACTAAAATGAATCAACTAATTATGCTACTTCAATTTTCCTTTGAAAATCCACTAGTTACACGAGTCATACCTAGTCTCACATTACTAGGGGTAACCTCATAAGTCAAGCTTAAATCCCTAATTTGAATCAAAAGATCCATCTCTCTAATCATAAGGGAAGATAAATATAGAGGTTTCCTACTCAAAGCATCAGTCACCATATTGGCTTTGCCCAAATAACAAATAAGATTAAAATCTTATTCCTTAAGAAATTCCCATTATCTCATTTGTCTCTTATTTAACTCCTTTGGTCAAAAGATATTTAAGGCTTTTATGATCACTACATGCCTCAAGCTTAGAACCATACAAATAGTGTATCCAAATCTTAGTATAAATATCATAACCACTAACTCAAGGTCATGCGTAAGGTAAGTCCTCTAATGAATTTTTAATTACCTAAAACATAGGCTACTATCCTTCCTTCTTGCATCAACACTTCATCCAAATCCATCTTTAGAAGCATCACTATGTAACAAAAGACTCACTAAAATCCGGAAATATTAACACTAGCCAATCTTTCCTTAAGAGTATGGAAATTACTCTCACACTATCCCACACAAAGACAACACTCTTCCTAGTCAATCTAGTAAAAGGTAATGTTATCCTATAAATTTTCTCAATAGCTCTCCTATAATACTAAGCTAATATAAGAAAATTGTTAACCTTACTAATTGACTTTTGGTATCTCCCACTTAAGCACAACTTCTACCTTAGGTAAATCTACATTATACCTCTGCTAGAAATTACAGAGCCTAGAACACTCACCTCATATAATCAAAAATCACACGTAGATAAGTAGCATAAAATTGTCTAGTATATATCCTCATCCTCAACTCCAATTAGATGATATCACATCTTAAGGTTAATCTTACTAAACACACAAACACCCACTAATTGATATATAAGGTCATCTATCCTCATATCAACATACATGCATATCAAATCATATTAGAACACCTATTTTAAACATTCATATATATCATCCCTAAGCATGTACGAATCAATCATCGTTTACTCCATATAGCATGTACATGAACCAACCTTACCACATAGCATCATACAACCTTAAACAACTTCTCAATCTACATGAAAATACCTCAGAACATCATAACCAAATCAATTCTTATCCTTGCATTGCCTAACAGTTCCAAAAACATTATAAAAGCATACATCTCTCTTCAAAAACTATGAAAGAAAATGATGCACATAGAGTTATACTCATCCAATTGATCTCAAACCTATCTAAAAAAAAGCTAAGAGAATAAGCCAAAACTCTTACGAAGACATAAGATTCCAAAAAGATCATCTTCTGAGCTAAAAATTCAAAAACACAAATATATTCAGCACTTACAACTAGACATCTGTTTTACCTGATTCCAGTTCCATTGGAAAGATAACGTCCAAGGCTACAACCTTTGTGAAGACCATCAAATCTAAATCTGTCAATAGAAAACTCGTGCGGGCACAACAAAAATGCAGCAAACATCCCTTACACTAGACAACAATAGTGTATCAACCTCTAAAGCCACAAAAATACTTTATCCTTTCAAACTCACTCCTTTCCTCCTTAAACTCATATCCGAGCTTCCCACTACAATTCTACACCAAAAAAATTCACATATTTCACACAAAAGACTTAGAGCTGAAATAAAATCCTCATGCAACCTAACTCCTAACAAGGTTAATATGCAAGCATCAAAACTTAAGGAAATTAACACTTCGACCTTTCATCAAGAACAGGCAAAACTCCAATGCTCAACACATAATCTCTTGGATTCAATCATTACAACTATAGATTCCAAAAACTCCATCAACCATAAACTCTCAATACACTCGACAAATCAATGTCTCACCCAAATCTAAGGTCCCAATAGTTTCTAGTTGATTAGCACAATATCTTGTCTACTACTATTCACACATATGCTTGCAACACAAATGATATCACTCATCCATTACTTCTTACATAAGCAATAAATATCAAACAATTAAGCACTCATAAGAATGAAGAAGAACCGTCATAATGATATTAGCTAAAACTATCTATCATTCCTCTAATTACAATATAATCTAACAGTATAAAAAACTCAACAATATCAACACAAGGAGAACATCATCATCATCATTATCAAAGAAAAGCATCATCAACTTACACAACAAAAAAAACATTGTCAGAGTACATAATAAAATCATGATAAGTACATAACTCATGGTCGATTGGATCGACCTGCTCTGATACCACTAAATGTGACACCCTCTACCCTAATATAAATATATAATAATTAAAAGAAATATCTTATTGGGTTAAACAAAATTCCAATAACATGAGAGTAGAGAATTCACATTCATAAACTTAAAACATGATCAAATGCGAAAAAAATGAAACATGAGTTCTTCTAAAACAAAATACAATAACGAAGTCCTAATTATGCCTAGCTATGCCCCAATGTCACATATCCTATCAGAGCATGCCCAACTGAAGTCTAAGCCTC